GCACGACCGAACCGTTTTCCTCACTCCAGACTTCTCCTCCTCCTGGTGACGAGTTCGACCAAGACATGCTGAAACCCGTATGTGCTATATTGTGAATACCTCAGGCAGAGATAGATCACAGGAGGATATTGGTGTTCTTCCAACTTTCGAACAATCTCAATATTGATTGTCAGGGATGACAAAGCATGGTTCAGCGATCTACCGCATCGAGATACCTAGCAGTCTGATGCAAAATGCAAGGATAGGGGTCCGATTGGATGAGAGGATGAATAGTGGTTGCTGATCCGAGTTTGTAGAAAGGTACTCCCGAAATAGGGCACAGAAGATTTTGTTTTGCCACCAACGCAATACCGCTTACGTTATTTGCTGTACTTATCATCTCGATACATTCCTGTCCAAGCAAGTTGAAAAAGGCCTTGTGACAAGTTCTAAAGTTCTGCATATCTTGTAAGCAATGAACCAAGCATACCGTATAGATACGCACATTAAATCTTGCCTTTGGAGTCTAAGACCATGTCCGCATATGCAGTCGCACCTGCATAACGGTACGTAGATGCAATTTACGTGATTCTCGAACGACCCTCTTGATAGCCAATCGCTTACAAGCTTGTCGATAGCAGCGTGGTAGGCTAAATTTCATCTCAGAGGGTGCGATGGTGGTTTCCATGTCTTGGTGGTGATATTTCAGTCTCGCAGTGATTTATCAGAATTTGGTGAGCCGACAGGTCCCCCGCTATCGGTTTCTCTCTCTTTGTGATCCTCTCCATTCTGAGAAGCATCTCCATCATCATGTCCATTCTGGCTTTCCCGGTCGATCTCATCCAACTCGTCGCCAAGCGCGCTTTCATATGGTTCGAGCTCGCCCAAGTCTTCCAAAGCCACCCGCGTTGGCATTTTCCAGAGAGCTGTTGCACATACACGATCCTTGGTCAAGAGGTCATCGATGAATTGATCCATGTAAGTCAAGGAATAGGTTTCCCTCGCTCGCCTCTTCAGTTTCCTGTGGTCGGCAAGAAGTGGCTCCAGCGTTTTATAGATGTCCTTCGGTTGCCATGCAAGTCGAATGTAAAACGCAGCGAGGGCTCGGAGATACTTGAAGTATCCCAATTTCGATTGGTCCGTCTCGGTGGCCTCGTCCTCATCGTCTTCTGCATCACTCAGTGCGAGAGCCGGCTGATTGAGCATTTCCAAAATAACATCGTCGTCGGGAACTAGCTGGAGCATTTTGAAAATGAGGCAAAGGAATGGAGTCGGTTTCCCTGTGGTTCCATAAGTTCCACCGATATGTTGCAGATCTGCAGCTCGATCGCATAAGGTCGCAGCATTCAGACCAAAACACTGTTCTTTAAAGTACATGGAGTCAGTGATCCGGTCGAGAACGGCTCTCTCCAGAAGAGTCGCAGGATTTTGGCCTCTGATAAGTTTTCCAGCATATCCTCGATCATCCAGCATGGACTTCGCATCAGCTTTGTGATAGGCCATGGTGTCGGATGCGATATCCCAATTTGTATGTCGATGATTTGCCGATTCCCGATCGATGCGCGTCTAGGTAAAAAATGTGAAGTCCACTGTGTTTGGCTTTGGGAATTATAGAACCAAAAGATGCATTTGGAACGGGTCAAAGCCAATCCCTGTCAATATCACGTGTCGGGCTGCTCGGCAACGCCATGTTGACAAACACAGCCTTGTGATGTGTGCATCTCGAAAGATCAAGCTCGAAGCAAATGTATAAGACTATCTAACCATGTTATTGACAAGTAGTCAAGTTCAAGTTGTGGTATCTTCGGGTATCGGTAAGTTCAGATCCATGGACAACGAAACCGAAAGCTAATCACATCCTACGGAATAGTCTGCATCTTCACATTACTTCTCTTCCTCTCCGGATATGTAGTCCAACAGAGATCAGTGGCACAGCTCCAGATAGCCATACGGCCGCGAGCACCTTCTCCACGACATCAACCTCCTCCCGAAACCGAACACATCCACTCAAACCCAACTTCGAGATTATCGAGACCGTTCGGGAAGCTCAGGGACAGAGCAAAACTACAAGCACACTTTGTCGATAAGAACAATGCTTTCGACTGGAGCAGACTAGCATATGCGCAGGTTGTGCGGGATCACTCGGAGCTTTGCAATGCCTTGATTCTATTCAACTCATTGCATCGACTGAGAAGTCCTGCACCCAAACTGCTGCTTTTTCCAAAAGAGTGGATCTTGGACAATGATGGCGATATCGCATCACAGGAGGTAGAAACGAGTCGAAGGTTGTTGAAGAAAGCCGCTCGCTGGTACCAGACGACACTCGTGCCGATAGACCCAGATCTCAAGGATGCAGACGGTTCGTGCCTGTGTCGTCAGAGTCCCTGCCACTATCTAACATGAAGTTATAGTTTCGAATCCCTCAAGCTTCTCTATAGCCTCGCTTTATTCCATGACCCAGTTCGACCGCATTCTCACCTTCCCACCACCCGGTCTCATCCTCAACGCCGCCCCTCTCGACTCCATCCTCGCCTACTCCTCCACCTCCCAAACAAACGCTTACCCACCTTTCAATACTTCTTCCTCCCTCTCCTCCCTCTTGCTCGTAAAACCCTCGGCCCAGTCTCATAGAGCCCTCACAGAGCTGAAGAGGAGACAACCTCACCTCGACTCCTTAGAACTCTTAAAATACACGTTCCCCGCGCCACCTCCTCTCCTCAAGGACGACAGCGAGGAGCAGTTCCCAACCAGTATTTACACAACCTCCTCCTCCTTGCGAACAGTGCAAGGATTCAGTGCACAAGCGTTTGAGGAAGAGACAGCTTTTGTGCATTTGGCCGATCCGGAGTTGCCTGGGCCGGAATATGATATAGCATATGCTGACCTGGTGAGAATGAGGCCGACGGATGAGGACCAAGGGTTTGTGTGGGAGAAGATGTATAGTATGTACAAAGACAAACGGTATTCTGTCTGTGGGATGGATCTACTGCCTTGGAATGGCGAGAGCAGAAGTGAGGAGAAGCAGGTAGATGCTGATGAGGAAAGGAGAGAAGATGCCGTTTATGAGATGAAGCAGGATCTGTGAGCAGGCATTGAGGGCGTCCTGGTGGTGTGATTTATGCGATTTCATAAGGATAGATGGGATCTCCATTGGTGTTGCACTTGAGCGTTGATCATCTTGGGATAGACTGGTGTTGTTGATAACGCTGATTGCTGAATGCTGTACCGAAGTAATTGCTCGTACAATTTCTGATTATCGATTGCGGGAAAGAAAAGCAATCATTACACAATTACCCACTCGGCCTATAACGAACAGTGGTATCCCCAAGGCAAAAGAAACTCCCATCCCATCTATATCCCACCCATACTGAACACATCATAATCAAACAGTCTTCTTCTCCAAATGCCACGCCATAACCTTCTCGAAAATTCCCTTGGCGCCCGTCTCAATCACATCCCCATGACAAGGCACAAGCCGATCGAAGTCCCACCCATTAATCAACTTCATACTTTTCGCAAAACCAGTCCGATCGGCAGCACTAGTCCCATACCAAATAACCCTCTGCTGCGCCATCGCCTTCCCCTTCGTATTCTGCAACGCCCCGAACAACCTGGTCAAAAACCCCGAGCTGGCATTCACGCCCGTCCTGGAATACTGTTCCGTAGCGGGCAGATTGAAGAGCAGATCGGCTTCTATGAGGGTGCGGGAGGGTCGGTGGTTGAATACTAGTTCCTTGTTCATGTGGCCGTCGACGAATTCGTAGTCAAAGTCTGCGTCGAATTCGGCGTCGACTTTTGTTGTTGCTTTGTCTTTTGCCGTGAAGATGACGCTGAAGGGGACGTCTTCGTTCTTTTGCTTGCGGCGTTTTTCGGGGAGGCCTTCTGGGCCGAGCACCTTGGCGTTTGGGTACTCTTTGTTCCAGGCGCCGAGGAAGATGTGATGCTGTGGGGGGTAATGTTAGTATTTATGTCGTGTCTTTGGGTTGGAATGGAATGGTGGGCGGGTGGAGAAGAGCTTACTTCGATATCGAGAGCGGCGATGTATTTCAATTCGCCCATTTTTGAAACGGTTTCTTTCACTTCTGGCGTCAGGGCGACGGGAGAGAAGACAGCTACGCCACCGCTTTCGAGCTTCACGAGCGTTCCGCGCCCTCCGATGTGGATGTGGCCGAATCTTGAGAAAGGGACGGAGAGTGTGGTTACGTTCTTTGCGATTTCTCGGATCACCATTACTTCCGATGGATTCGAAGGGATGAGTTTGGAAGTCATAATGGTGAGTTTTGGTCTTGACTATGGAATGGTTGTGATTAGGAATAGCTGTGATGGTGGTTAGCATAAATCTGGCGCCTGACAGACGATGCATTTGCGGAACTTACAGTATTGCTGCAAACGGAGATCACTGAAATGCTTCGATTCAGAAATATGTACAACTTGTTTGTCGGTCTGATGGTTTCTGTGAAGTGTAGTATTTACTTCGTCCCTAGAAAATCTTGGACGATGACGACAGAAGTGTGGCGTGAGCTTCCGAAACAGCTAGGAAAATGCGTATGCCTCGATTAAACAACCGAAACTTTGAACAAGCAGCGCTCTACTTATAAAATCATCATAAGCTTATTGAAATGAAATTTATCAAATCAAGCCCAGTCCAGACCGCCCTTACTCGTCGTCCAAAATGCAAATACTCCGTTCCTAGCTTAGCGATTACGGTCAAGGCACCAGGACTCGACAGGTCTGCGCCACGCAACCGCGATGACTGATCACTCAAGGACGAGATCCTCGGATCAACCGGGTAGGGCTTTGAATACGAGTTTACGTATGGATACTCATTTGTATATCGATTATAGGTTTCCAAATATAGAGAGGAATGAAAATACTACTAACTTTTCCTGCTGTTGCTAACGTATTCTTCTTGCATCATAAGATTACATCGCGGAATGGCCGGATTGACTGCAGGGCTCCACACAGATAATTTTCAACATTGGCGGAGACTTATACTACACTGTCCAGAACTTCGAATAACTTCCCTCGTGGCGCAATTGGCTAGCGCGTTCGACTGTTACCATTGCTGGTATCGAGAGGTTGGTGGTTCGAGCCCACCCGAGGGAGTCCATTTTTTTGGCCATTTTCCAGTACGAAGTCATCTTCATGACCTTAGATAACTATGTAGATGTGTCCCGAAGGCCCTTTTGGCTCGGCTCCGAATGCAATCGGTTTGTCTGTCCTTTGTGGAAGAGTCGTGATTACTAGATCAGGTTCAGACGATCAAACAGTAGAATGGTAGGAAGCTCAAGATGTTGGCGACTATATGATGCATGAGTTACAGCCCTTCCAGACCCAACTCGTCAAGGTTCCGTATTCTTCTCTTTCGTCTCCTGCGCCAATCCCAGGTATCTCTTCTCAGTATATTCATTGCAGGATCTGTTCCTTGTCTTCTCGCAAACATCACTCGCGGCGGCCTCGGAATATCTGCAGGTGACTTTGGACCCGGTAGGGGTGTAGACGCCGGAGAGCTCTTCTTCGAACTCAACTTGATGCCAAGCAAGATGATCATGCCCACCACAAGAAGTATGAGCAAAAGTATGATCTTCCTCTTCACGCTCTTCTTTTGATAGCCCGTAGCGACAGTCAATTCTTTATCCGCTGCCTTCATGTCCACAGCCATACGCTCAACGTTGTAATCGATTCTGTCCAACATGCTACCTTGGTCGATGACCATCGTTTGTAATTCTTGGAAAATGTTTGCCAGCTCGATAATTCCCTGCGCGATATCCTCGATTTCACGTTCGCGCTGGGCAATGATCGTCTCGTTTGGGTTGTGTTGGAGCCGTTGTTGGGCTTGTGACAAAGCTGCTTGAGAAAAGCTTCGGTCAGACTCCGACTCCATGAGAGAAGGGTCGGTGTATGGATTCGAAACCATGGGAGTGGAAGATCGGTCGATCGGGGTAGAGAAGCCGCCGAGTGTGCGCAGTTCTGGTACGTATCAGCATTTGTGTAAACATAGAGAGACAGGCATCACTACTCTTGAGATATGCAGACTGCTTTTTGCGAAATAGCGAGCTGACATCCCCAACTCTTGTCGCCAAGGAAATTTTGAGATTCTTAGCCATGGTCTCCTCGCCTTTGCTGATACCGCCTGTATGTTTCGATTCTCGAACCATCTTATCGATCCTCTGAATAGCTTTCTGACAGTTTTGGAATTGCCTCGTTATTTGCTGGGTCATCTCCTCAATTTGCCGCTCTTCCCTTTTCTTGACATCGTCGTCGTCGAATCCAGGAAGCACATGCTTCTGGTGCAATTGCTCAAGTTTTCTGGTCTGCGCAGCAATGTCGGAAAGGATCTCAGTGACTTCATCTTGAATATCCAGCCACCGCGGTGGCAGCAAATCCATTTCTATGACTACATCTCCATCATCCTCGTATGCGCCGGCAGACATGAGGCCACGACGCTCTTCCGACAGCGATGATGCGCCCTCGCCAAAGCCATTGGAGCTGGGTCCGGAGAAGACATTCTTCTTTTGTGGGTGGTGGGTGTAGGACTGGCGGAAGGAGATGAAGCTGTAGGTAGCGCGCATTAGTAGGTACTCCAGGTAGCAATTACTAGGGAAAGTAAGCACTCACAGATTCGTTCTATCCCTCCACATGATGGAAGATGGTGCGATGGGAAGCCAGCTCAGGCATTTGCGATGTCAGGAATCTGCCTTTGGGTCGATGACATTGCTGGAGGCACGTTGCAATAAATGGGAGGTACTGCCGCGTCGGTCTTGAGGCTGAGAAGCGCTCTGTCTCCTGAGTCCTGACTCCCTGCCTTTGGCGGAGTGTAATCAGCACAGGCAAGATTGACCGGCGAGAAGACACTGCAGTGGCACTAACTAGCATATCCACCATCTCCCCGGCAGTCTTCTCAAACAACAATCTCTCACCTTGAGGATACACAATTTGCAACTCAAAGCTCCCTTGAGCACTCGATAAACACACATACAACCCGTCAATCCACTCTCGTCGACCCTCACATCATGGTATGCTCCTGCCAAACACCCCACCAAGCATGCCGGTAGCAAAACGTCAACAGACGAGGCTGTCCATCAGTCCACACCCTCTATTTGCTAACACGACTCTCAGGCCGACTCCCTCACCGAGGAGCAGGTCTCCGAGTTCAAGGAGGCCTTCTCTCTCTTCGTAAGTCAACCCCCCGCCTCCAGTCCTAATTGCTGCCTGTCTGGCTTTACATAGTGGGGTCAGCTCTGCGACTTTTCCATACATATGCTGACAGTGTTATTGCGCACAATAGGACAAAGATGGCGATGGTAAGACTCACACTCCCTCACTTAACCCTCGCGATGTCTCCTCCGAACGCCGTACACTATTGCGCACCTTGCGACAACCTGATACATCCTCCCTGGCACCCTCTCGCTTACACCGAAGCCCCGCACGAGAAGGAGTAGTAGCTCACGATAACGATTAGGACAAATCACGACCAAGGAACTTGGAACCGTCATGCGCTCTCTTGGTCAGAACCCAAGTGAATCAGAATTGCAGGACATGATCAACGAGGTGGACGCCGATAACAATGGCACAATCGATTTCCCAGGTAATGACAATCGCAATCACATCACGACTGCATCTGACATGTGCTGTCAGAATTCTTGACGATGATGGCACGTAAAATGAAGGACACCGATTCTGAGGAGGAGATTCGCGAGGCGTTCAAGGTCTTTGACCGTGACAACAACGGCTTCATTTCTGCTGCCGAGCTTCGCCATGTCATGACTTCGATCGGCGAGAAGTTGACCGACGACGAGGTTGATGAGATGATCCGAGAAGCTGACCAGGACGGGGATGGACGAATTGATTGTATGTTTGCGTGTACACAAGCCTTTGACCCATGCTAACATTATCACCATAGACAACGAATTCGTCCAATTGATGATGCAAAAGTAGACGACGTATGACAGATTAGGAAGAAACACACGATCAATCGGGAGAACATTGTTATGATTGGCAATGAGCGATGGCATTTATCATCACTATCCATAAATGACCCTTTTTCTGGCTCATTCATCCCCTCGGTTTGTCTTGCTTCACTTCTGCGAATGGCAAGTATTTTAAAGCTCAGATATCCTGGTCACTTTGTTGGCTATCTTGGGTGCGCGGCTTCTTTTGGGAACCAGCTGCCAGTCTCTCATAAAATCCTCTGAATACACGACTTCGAGAAGCTTCATCCTGTACCATTCAAAATTATGTTTATTGCTGCACATGCTGTTTTAAATCATCTGGTCTAACAAGCATGAATGAATCCTTCTGAGACTGGCCGAGAGTGATCCTCGGTCACTAATGAAGCGGCCGTCACCCGCCAAGGACAGGCATCGATTTGAGCCAGGGCAGGGGGAGGGGTTTCTGGCCCTTTTACTCCCCATCATTCTTCTGAGCCTCGAACTTTTCAGCCTCAGCAACACAACCCCTCGCCATTTCAAGCTAGTAGAAGAAGTCAGCCTTGCGCACATATTCCTCGGGTGGAAGAGACTTACTTGTTCATCCGTCTTACAAATCAAAATACGATGCCTTGCCCCTTCCTTCGTAATCTCTTCCACAGCTCCTTCACCTGGGTTTTCATTCTTACTCTGATTGATCTCAAAACCCAGACACTTCACTCCTTCAATCACTGCTGTCCGCAAAGCTGATCCCTTCTCGCCCATTCCCCCTGCAAAGACTATGGCGTCAACATTCCCGCGCAGAGTAACATAATACGACCCGACAAATCCCAGGATCCGATCCACCATCAGATCAAACGCCAATTTGCACTTCTCATCGCCCTCGGCTGCTTTTGAAGAGATGGAGCCAAAATCGGTCGTTCCGGTCAATGCTTTCCATCCGCTTTCTTTGTTGAGGATTTGCTCCGCCGTCGTTATATGCAGCGACTTTGTAGATGAGGGGGAGAGTTTTCCGGCGTCGTGCGTGTAATGGAAGACCAACGATGGATCGATGGAGCCAGAACGGGTGGCGCCGGGCAGACCCGCGAGGGGCGTCAGACCCATCGACGTATCGTACGATTTCCCATGTCGAATCGCGGTTACGGACGCGCCGGAGCCGAGGTGGAGCGCTATTATATTCGTCTCCTCCTGCGGTTTCCCGAGGAATCGGGCTGCGGATCTGGTTATGAAGGAGTAGGACAGACCGTGGAAGCCGTATTTCCTCAGTTTGTTCTTGGCGGCCAGGTCCGGGTCGATGGGGTAGGTGGATATGTGTTTCGGGATGGTGCTGTGGAAGGACGTGTCGAAGAAGGCGATGTTCGTCGCGCCGGGCAGGATTTTGAAGACGGCGTCGACGAGTGTCAGAGCGCCGGCGTTGTGGAGCGGTGCGAGGTCGGACAGTTTCTCGATGTGGTGGTATGTTTCTTGATTCAGGAGTTGGGGACCTGGGTAATCGCCTCCGTGGACCACTCTGTGCGTTGCGAAGGCGATGTCTTGTTTGTCAGAGACTTCTGTGAGACCGGAGTCGGATGTCAGGTGGTCGAGGATGTACTTGAAGGCCTTCTCTTGGGAATCGATGGAGGGCAGTTCTTTGCCTTTTGTCTTGTTGGAGCCGCGGGTGTATTTCAATGTTGGTGGTGGGGCTGTTAAGCCGTCGATTTGGGCTTCTGCCAGTTCTCTTGGGTCTTCGTTTTTGTCGCGGGCTTGGTATACTGAGATCTTGACCGAGGATGATCCGGCGTTGATGGAGAGGATGATTTGACCTGACATGTTGATGGACGAGGCTGATGGAAGTCTGTTCTTTTTCAATGGGGAGGATTCGACAAACTCCCAAGCTCTTTATTCCTTTTCACCAATCCTTTTCCTTGACTCTGAATTGTTGTTGACACTGCAATCAGTTCCACGGCTTCGCCCGGAAGGTGAAGTTTTGTAGTCTATGTCGAATCTGCATCAGTGACGAGATCACTCCACCAAAAAATTCCAGCTCGTCATGTCGAAGCAATACTCGATAAGCAATTCCTTGAGATCATCGTCGAAGATACTCACTTATCACCGCATTGCTGAGATTCGAAGTCCAACCAACTACCATCAAAATTATTGCCCTTCTGACGTAGATGCTCCTCACGTGCCGGCTGCCTT